CCCAGCCGTCCCGCCCCTCGCCAGCCCGCGGAACCCGGACACTGAGGCATGCAAGAAGTCCCTGGCGGCCAGCGTCAGCGATGGGAGATGCCCCAATCCAGACCTCACTTTTTGTTCCTATGGCTGCAACTGTTTCTCTAACAGCCTTAGCTGGAAGCTGAGACTCACTCTTACACTTTCATTGTATGCACGTCTTGCTTCGAACCTCCTCATGAAAAATTCGAACGGTGCTTTGAAATCCAGAAGGATAACCGGTTTACTGAGGCTGGTGGAGATGGGAATAGTGGCAGACTCCTAAGGACTCTCATTAACAATGGTTAATTGTAGTGGGGAAAGTTTCTAAGCAGAGGAGAAAAGGCAGGAACGGGAGAACAGGAATGACCGTCAAAGGGTCGGGAAATAGTTCTTTAGAAGGAGTCCAATCGAGTTCAGGGGATTCCCGCTAGAATGCTGAGGGAAGGCCTTCAGATACGGCGCTAGCCCCTCCCTCACTCTATCCACCAGAGCCGCTGGCTGTCCAGGGCCATTCTCAGAATTGAATTCAGAATTAAAACCTGTGTGCCTGCTCGTTCCTCCTGACCAATCAGGCTGGCTCTCCTTTCCACGTTACCCCCCCCACACACACACACTTTGATGGAACCACTCTGTTGCCTAATGACACAATTGGTTTGCTCATTTCCAGTTTGTCCTCCCCCAAGGGCTAGAGGTGTAGCCTAGTGGTTGTTAAAGGTGCAGTTCAGTAGTGCGGTGCTTGCCTGGTTTGTGCAAGACCCTGGGCTGGAGCTCAGGTGGGCGGCTCGCACATTTCTAGGTTTTGTGGATTTTTAAAAATTATTTTTATTTGGGGTGGTTGTATTGTACCACAGCGACTGTGTGGAGGTCAGAGAATAGCTTTCAGGAGTCCATGGGTCAAAGGGAAGGAACTCTGGTTTGATGGCAGGTACCTTTACCCACTGAGTCCTATTTCTAATTGTTGTAACAACCCTGGAAGTTGAGTGTCTTGTTTCCCCTTTCTACAGAAGAGGCACATTAGACATCATAGGTTAAACAGTTTGCCCTGGCTTGCACCACACTAAACAGCTGATTGACCCAGAATGTCTGCCTCTAGACCCTACTTCATTCTCATCCCTGCAGGCAGAGCCATCTTTCTAATAGACAAACATTTCTCTATGCTGTCCTTGGAATCGAGTTCAGATACCTTGCAGGGCTGATGAGACATTTTCTACCATACCCCCACTCCCACCCCCACTTTTCTCTCTCCAGTCCTGGGACAGAACCCAGGGAATTTGCACTTGTGAAGCAACTACCAGCGATCTATAGCGAGCATCCACCACCACCCTTTGTGTGTGTGGCAGAGTTTCACAAAACTAGGGAGCCTAGTGCCCCTCCTGCCACAGTGTCTGGAGTAGCTGGGAATACAGGCTTGTTCTCAGCCTCCCTGCTGCGGTCTGTTCTCGATCAGCATCACAAAGGCGACCCTGGGACACTGTGCATTTGCAATCTTTCTACTTTGTTGATGTTGTTTATGGGATAAAACTTTGTTGATGTTGTTTGTGGCTTGGAATTCAAAACCATACTCTTTTTTTTTTTAAAGGAGACCCCATTTTTAAAAATTTATTTATTTATTAATTATGTATACAGCATTCCTTCCATGTATGACTGCAGGCCAGAAGAGGGCACCAGACCTCATTACAGATGGTTGTGAGCCACCATATGGTTGCTGGGAATTGAACTCAGGACCTTTGGAAGAGCAGGCAATGCTCTTAACCTCTGAGCCATCTCTTCAGCCCTCAAAACCATACTCTTGCTTCTGCCTCCCATCCCAAATGTTGGGATTACCACTGTATCTCACCCTGCCCAGCCAGACCAATCCTTGTCTTTATTTAGCCTTCCTTTCTCTATCATCACCTACTTCCATTTTTTTCCCTTCTTTCCTTTGGTAGAATTTTTTTGTCTTGTTTTGTTTTGTTTTTTAAGTCAGGATTTCTCTGTGGCTGGCCTCGAACTCACAGAGATACAGAGATCTCTGCCTGCCTCTATCTCTTGAGTGTTGGGTTTAAAGGCATGCCCCACCACTGCCCAGCTTCCTTGGCAGAATCTTACCACATAGCTAAAAGTCATGACACTCCTACTTCAACCTCCTTCTCTCAGCCACCTTCCTTGGTTCCCCCAATACTGACTTAGATTAACCCTGCCTCCTATAGCATCCCCTACTCACGCTATTTAAAGTGATTCCTTTTCTTTTGTTAGTTACTGGTTAGTTTGTGAGACAAAGAGCTGTACCATCCATGTTTATGGTTGCAGGATTAAGCCTAGTTCTTGTGTCTCTGCACACAGAATGTGCTCTTGCAACATTTGGTGAATGTTGAGCTCTGCAGACTCATTCCAAATTTCATATATCTGTGATCCCAACAATTAGAGCAGCTTGTTCAGCTTGCAGGAGATCCCGGGTTTAATCCCTTGCCACACCACAAATAAAAAAGAGAGAGAACGGTAAAAACTGGGAAGTAGCTCAATTGATGGAGTGACATGCACGAAGCTCAGGGTATGATCCCTAACATTGTGTAGACTGGACACCATGGTATACATCTGGAATTCCAGCACTTTGAAGGTGGAAACAGGAGCATTGGGAGTTCAAGGTCAAGAATCCAGACTGGTGTGAAACTCACGTATTGAGTAGTCCAGACTGGCCTTAATTTAAGATGATCTTAAGTTACCTCAGTCTCCAGAGTGCCTGTGTTTTATTCAGAATTTAATTTTCTTAAGATTTACTTAATTTAACTTGATTTTTAATTTTTTTTTTTTTTTGAGACAGGATTTCTCTGCTGTCCTGGAACGACCTCTGTAGACCAGGCTGGCCTCTAACTTACAGAGATCCGCCTGCCTTTGCCTCCTGAGTGCTAGGATTAAAGATATGTGCCACTACCCCCTGGCTTATTGTGTGCGTGTTTTGCCTGCATGTATGTCTGTGTGCCATGTGCATTCAGTGCTTGAAGAGGCTAGAAGCTCAGATCCACTTGAAACTGGAATTCGAGATGGCTGTGATCTTCCAGATGCTGGGGATCAAACATGGGCCCTTCAAAAGAGCTGTCAATGCACCTAACTGCTAAGCCATCCCTCCAGCCCTGTGTTGTTCAGGATTTCAAAGTGTCATTTCTTAGTTGGGCATTCTTTGATCCCAGCCCTTGGGAGGCAGAGGCAGGTAGAACTCTGTGAGTTCAAGGTCAGCCTGACCAACAAAGTGAGTTCCAGTACAGGTAGACCTATGTAGAGAGACCCTATCTCAAAACCCAAACCCAAACAAAAATGTAGATACACGCGTTTTTATTTACTGTTTGTGTGTGGGGGGGTGAATATCACACACGTGTGGAAGTCAAAGGACAATTGCCAGGAGTCTTCTGTTGTGTAGGTCTTGGGATTGAGTTTAAATTTGTAGGTTTGACAGGAATTGCTTTAGCTCACTAAGCCCTCTCCCAGCCCTCTCAAAAGAAAGATTTATTTTATTTTTAACTATGTGTACGTGTCTGTGTGGGTGAGCATGAGCGCAGGACAGAGACATCGGGTCTGGATCTGGATTTATAAATGGTCACGAACTACCTGACATAGCTATGAAAAACCAAACTCAGGTCCTCTGAAAGAGTCATGGAAGCTCTTAACCACTGCCTCTCCAGCCCTAAAGATGCTCATAGATTTCATGTAGGATTCCAGGGCATACTTTTCCTCTACAAATAAAAATATGGAATACTTCATGAATTTGTGTGTCATCCTTGCACAGGGGCCATGTGGATCTCTGTGCTGTTCTAATTTTTGATATGTGCACTGCTGAAGGGAGCCCTCTAGGGACTGTGTTAATAAGTGGGCCTTTCCTGGGGACCAGTGGGTCTTAGATCAATGCTTCCCTGAACATGATAGACACCCAAGCAGGGAAGGCTCCACCTGCTGTCCTGCCCCTCCCTCCCCAGGGTCTCGCTCTCCCTGCTCCTTCTCTCTTCTGATCGGCCTTCTTTCAGGTTCTGATCTGTCTCCCCTGAAACTCCTGTTTCATTTCAGGACTCAAATGTCAGCCAAGGAAACTGAGGTTCAGAGAAGAGGGGGAACCAAGACTAAAGCCTCGCACTGGTAAAAGACAGAAATGCAGCCGGTTGGTGGTGGTGCACGCCTTTAATCCCAGCACTCGGGAGGCAGAGACAGGGGGATCTCTGTGAGTTTGAGGCCAGCCTGGTCTACAGAGTGAGTTCCAGGACAGGCTCCAAAGCTACACAGAGAAAGCCTGTCTCAAAAAACAGACAAAACATCAGACAGGAATATATATGTGTATTAGTACTTGTTGGGGTGGGGATCTCCTTTTCCAACTTGTCTTGGATAGAGTTTGCCAGCATTTTCTCTCTTGTGCCGTCAGCTTTGCCTCTGAGTTCAAGACTCCTCAATGTCAAATCAAATGCTAAATTGGGGCACTAGGCAGTGTCCAGATCCTGAAGTCACGAGCATCTGCTTCCCTTGACCCAAGGGGCGAACTTCTCTGGCCAGCAGCCGTTGCTCTTGGAAGGTCCCATCAGATTGGCAGCTGTCCCTCTGAACTCTTGTCCGTGTCCCTTCCATTATCTACCCTATATCTGCCTTTGTTTTTTTGCGTTTTTGTTCTTCTTTATGAGGAAGGGGCATGTGCACATATGTAGAGGTCACTGGGCAGCTTTCAGGAGTCAATTCTTTCCATTCATCATATGGGTTATGGGGTTCAAACTCACGAGTATCAGGACTGGTAGCAATTGTCCTTCCCCATTGAACTATCTGGTTTATCTCTGTTTTGGTTTTTCAGGTAGATGCCATGTTGACTCATATTGTACCAGAACTCAGTATGGAGCCTAGGCTGATCTAGAACTTATGGCAATCCTCCTGCCTCAGCTTCCTGAGTGCTGGGATTACAAATGTGTACCTCTCATCTTTTCTTTCTGAGGTGTGGTTTCACAATGTCATCAAGGCTGGCCTCAGCCTCCTGGTGCCAGAAATGATAGTCTCCCACCCTGTGTCTTCCTGTTTTCTGATTTCTGGGTGCCTTCTCTTTCCTGTCCCCTATAGACTGTCTGTCATTGGAGCTCACCACTGAAGAGGAGGGCTGGGCCTGGGTGCTTGGGGACGGGCAGTGGCCAGACTAGGGGCCCGGGACATGAGCGCAACTTTCCAAGCTGCTCTTCCAGGCCCCTGTGGTTGGGGAGCTCCACACAGGGAGAGATGAGTCAGCAGGGCCACAGAGCAGGGGGGCAGTTGGGTGGGGGTAGAGATGCCTGGGGTTCCCCAGGGCCAAGGAGTCTACTCAGGCCGTCTGGGTATCTGGACTCCTGTGGGTGTGGGCAGTAAGGGATCAAAGGTCCCTGGTGGCTCCTACCCTAGTCAGAGACAGAGAGAGCAATCTATAGGGCTGGCCATATCCTGCCTAACCTTAGATTTGTTCACTTTTTGAGACAGTGCTTCATGTAGCCCAGGCTAACCTTGAATTCGCTGTGTAGGTGAGGATAACTTCCAACTTCTGATTCTTCTGCCTCTACCTCCCGAGTGATGGGACATTTGCCTGTGTGGAGCTGCTACGTTGATATGAGTCTAGATGGGTCCATAAGACATATCAAGGTCACTGAATCTGTACGTGCGTGTGTGTACCTGTGCGTGTTTGTGCTGGTATGAATGAGAATCAGGGAGCCTTAGCGTATGTATAGGACGCCTATGAATCAGTGTGCGTTAGTGTGGATGTCTGCACATTACATAATGTGAATGGGTTCTGTGTTCTCTAGTGTGCTAGTGTGTGTACCTGATTGTGTGTTATTCATCAGGCTTGTGGGGTTGTGCGTCAGTTTAAAGGGTTCTATTTTCTCCTTTCTGGTGAGTCTCTCTAAGCGGTTCTGTAACAGCTCCGTGGGAAGTGCCTAGGAGTCCCCTTGATAGAGATTTCAGAGAGAAATCCTGAACAGGTGAGCACAGGTAGAATTAGCTTTTCCACCCCTCAAGGAGCAGGGGGTAAAACCTTCCATTCTCTCCATGTCTCATTCTCCTTCCACCTTTCCAAAAGATGCAAAATCATTAGAACTGAAGGCAGGTTCCAAATTTAACCCCTCTGATCTAGGAAAGCCCACCCTGAACCTCTAGCGCGGGAGGGAGGGAGGGAAGGGAGTGGTCCTTGCGGTTCAGCCCAGTGCTGGCTTTGGGAGATCAGAAAGGCGTCGAGGGACGTCCATCTCCGAGCTCAGTGTCTGGGTGGCCATGGGCGGAGGCTAAGGGGCCCCCAGGGTGGTGGGGGTGGTGGATAGAAACCAGATGCCTAGGGGGTTTATACTGGAAGGGCCAGAGCCGCAGCCTTTACCCGCCGCTGCCACATGGCGCCTCTGCCTGGGCTGCCCCACCCCCTGGGAGGTTGGGCGGAGGGAGGCCTGTGACGGTGGAGGTAGGTCCTTGGAAAGGGATTCCAGTTGCTGCCCCCAGCCGCTGAGGGTACTGGAGGGGTGGGTGGGGAACAGGACCCAGGAATACCAGATCCACAGCTGGCTTGCAATGCTGTCTTAAGTGGGGGAAAAAGTCGGAAATCAGAGCCCGAGGGCTGTGGGCTAAGGTGGTGTCTCAGCTTCAATATCCCCTCACCTGGCTGACACAGATCCTTGTCCTGGAGGCTTGTTGGTGTGCAGCGGCCCACCTGGGTTCCTACCTCAGGCTCTGGCTCTAACATCTTCCTGGGATCCTGTTCGTCCTGTTTCTTTTCCTACCATTCTTTGGCTTTGAGTACATCTACCCCTTCCCACAGGGAGTGGAAAGGCTGACCCTGGCACCTACCCGCCTGCGGAGTCTCTGCCTTCTCCTTTTCATTCATCCTTTACCCTTTCATTCTCTTTCTTGTCCAGTCAGGGTTGAATCCAACTCCCTCTCTCGTTTCTTTATTCCTAGAATCTAGATTTCCCTGCTGCCTCAGTTTCTTGGTTGATCTACCCTCTGTTTCTCTAATGATACAGGAATTGCTGGAGAGCTTCCTTTCCTTCTTTCCAGTCTCTTACTTAAAACCCTAGAAATTCAACCAACACTTTGTCCTTAGACTCCCCCCCCCACCATGGAGGAGACTATGAGGTTGTAGGAACGGCCCCCACCACCATGGAGGAGATTACGAGGTCATAGGAACGGCCCACCACGGGCACTTCCTTCTGGGCGGACGGGTGGGGTGGCCCATGTAATCATCGGACACAATTATGCCCTATTTATACCCCATCCCCGCCCCCCACCTGCTGGCTGCTTTACCCTTCACCTCCTCCAGACCTGGCTATGCCTGTAGCTGGTTCTCTTTCTCTCTGAAGCGGTTGTGTCTATCTTTGTTCCTCTGTGTCTGCTTCTTTCTTTCTTTCTCTTTCGCTCTCTCTCTCTTTCTTTCTTTCTTTTAAAGGTGGTTTTGTTGTCATTGCCTTTTCTTTTCTGCTTTCTCTAGATTTTGTTTTGTCTCTTTTTTGTTGTTGTTTTGTTTTGTTTTTCGAGACAAGATTTCTCTGTGTAACAGCCCTGGCTATCCTGGAACTCTGTAGACCAGGCTGGACTTTTTTCTTTGAAGAGCTGTGAGGACAAAAGGAACAGGAAGTGGGTTCTCCCCCAATGAGGAGAAGGAGGGCTGCTAGAAAGTGGGAAAGGGCAGACGAGGTTGAGAGCGGAGGAGTGCAGGTCCCCTTTCCAGGCAGGTCTTCTTTTGAGACATACGCTATTTTTTTAAAAAAAATTTATTTATTTTTTTATTTTATAGGCATTGGTGTTTTGCCTGAATGTATGTCTGTGTGAAGGTGTTGGTGGGTCCCCAGGAACTGGGGTTACAGACAGGTGTGAGCTGCCATGTGGGTTCTGGGAATTGAACCTGGGTCCTCTGGAAGAGCAGTCAGTGCTTTTAACCATTGAGCCATCTCACCAGCCCCAACAGATGTTTACCACTTGGCAGTCCAGTCTTTTCCCATGAACTTATCCCTAGAGCCAAAGCATAAATTAATACTTTAGATCTTCCTCTCTGTCTTGATCGACCTTCCTTCTCTTTCTCATCTGGACGGGATGTCACAGTTGGAGGGCCGGATCAAGCACTAGCATATATTCTTTCTGTAGAGGGAACTGCTGCATGGCCATTGAGAAGGAAGCCATGAAGCCCCACCAAGGAAGCAAGATGACTTATGAGAGAGACCACCTACTGAAGGAAGGACATTAAAACCCTAGCCAAAAAAATAAAAATAAAAAAATAAATAAAGAAAAAGCTGGGCGTTGGTGGTGCACTCGGGAGGCAGACGCAAAGCAAATCTCTGTGAGTTCAAGGCCAGCCTGGTCTACAAGAGCTAGTTCCAGAACAGGCCCCGAAGCTACAGAGAAACCCTGTCTCAGAGAAAAAAAGAGAAAAAAAAAAAAAAAAACCTAGCCAAGAAGGCCTCAGGGATGGTAGCTGGCGGGTGCATCAGGAGCGAGAGAAGCTGGACTGTTCTTTGTAGCGGGAGATTAATCCCAAGAGGTTAAGTATGGCATAAATCCGTTGACCCAATGGCCTTCTGCTCTGACCCTCACTCCTGCGTGTCTGAAATCTCAAGTTCCAGGTTCTGCCCTACAAACTTAGGTGGGCCGAGGTCTCATAGAGGATACCCTCCTCTGCAAACTGTGCTGTGCTCTTCCCACGCCCCATGACTTGCTCCAGGCTCTAGAACCTAACTCACTGACACCGACACAATCAGAATGAGCAAATCATCCCTCCTAATCCACACAACGCACACGCACACACACACACGCGCATACACACACATACACACACACACACACACACACACGCACAGTGCCATCCTGATTTTAT